AATAATAACCCTAAATGTAAATGGATTACCAGTAAATGGTCCAATCAAAAGGTATATGGTAGCTGAATGGATACAAAAACATGACCCAACTATATGCTGTCTACAAGAGATCCACCTCAAAACAAACGACACACACAGGATGGAAAAATTTTTCCATGCAAATGGAAAAGAAAAAAAAAAGCTGGAATAGCAATACTCATATCTGACAAAATAGACTTTAAAAGCATCATGCTAAGTGAAATAACCCAGTCAGAGAAAGATAAATATCATATGATCTCACTCATTTGTGGAATATAATGAACAACATAAACTGATGAACAAAAATAGAGCCAGAGGTGGGGAGGGAATATACTAGAATATAATAGAAATAATCCTGTTATTTGCAGATTTTTAATATTTCCTACAACTTTTGTGATATACTATGTTAGTACAGTTTGGTAATATTATACTTAAAATCTTTTTATTCTTGAAATATTAAGGTTTTTTGCATGTAACATTATTATATTTAAAATAGTTTTTCTTGAAATAAAAAAAAAAAGACTAGTAAAGTAAGCAGAAGCCAGGTTATGAAGGGGGAATTTAGACTTTCTCCTGAAGGCAGTGGTAGATTTTTAAGCAAAAAGACAGTATTTTAGAGAGATCACTCTGGGTAGGTAATAATGAAGTTATTTGAAATGGGGTTGTAGTGGAAGGTGAAAAGGTACAAAATGAGACGAAAAGGCTAAAGATGGTAGCCTGAACTTAGGGAGAAACTTTAGGGATAGAGGGAAGTAGATGACTATTCCAAGTTAACTCTCTATTAATGAAGGAGAATGTACAGAATTTCATGATTCATTACCAGTGGGAGAGTGAGAGAGCATTGTCAAAGATAACTCTCAGATTTCTGGCTTGGGCACGTAGGTAAATCGTAGGACTAGTAACTGATGTTAAAGATCAGAAATATAAAAGCACAGATTTTTGGGTGTATGAGAGGTGGGAAAAGAGATGGCGATTTCAGTTTTGTAAATGTAGTTTTTTTTATCGTGGTAAAATACACATTAAGTAAACTTTGCCATTTTACCATTTTAAAGTGTACAGTTCAGTGACATTAAGTATATTCACAGTCTTGTGCAACCATCACTACCTAGTTCCAGAATGCTTTCATCACCCCCAAAGGAAACCCTAAGTAGCCCCATTAAGTAGTCACTCATCAGTACGTGCAGATTTTGAGGCATTTATGTGACATCCAAATATAGATGTTAAGTAGACATTTGGATATGTAGTACTGAAACCCAGGGTAAAATGTTAGGCTCAAATTACAGATTTTTGAATCATTAGCATGCAGATAGGGAGCTCTTAACCTGGGGCCACCACTGATATATATATATAGTAATTGAAATCATGGGGGTGATTAACAAAACTCAGAAAAAATGACCAGTGAGGGGGAAAAAAAAAAGAATGAAGATGAAACCACGGATAACATTAAAGAGGTTCAATGGGTGTTATCTTGAGTACAAGACATAAAATTCTTGTCTGCCTCAAGATAAGTAAAGGCTTTTAAAGGGCAATGGGATTTCCTACTTGTTAGTTTTACCTCACTTGGTTGCCTCTGCCCAACACATATTTCACAAATTCATTCATTTGTACTCTTAAATAAATTATCTCCTTAGTTTACTAGTCATACCTTTTTTCTTACTTAGTCTTCGGCCATTAGGTTGGTGGGGTAAGTATCATTACAAGTCAACAATAGAGTTAGCTAAGTTGTCAACAAGTGTGTGTGTATCTTGTGGATAAAGCAGCAGTTCTCGAAGTATGGGACTAGAACCAACAGCATCAGCATCACCTGAATTTGTAAGAAGTGTAAACTCTTGAACCCCACCACAAGAATGAGAACTCTGGGGTTGGGACCCAGCCTGTCAGGCGATTCTGACGCATTCTAAAGTTTGAAAACAACTGTGCTAGACTTCCTGGCCAATGTTTTCAGTCTATAAATAAACCCGGGGTTCCTGGTTCTGTCTTTATCTTTTATATAATAAAATCTGGATGGCAACATTTTGCAATGTCTGATGAATTAATTATTCATGAAAAAGTTGTCTTGGAACATTCTTATCCATCTGTGACCTTTGCCATTCTGAATTATAGATACAAATATTATTTCCTGCATATTATTTTCTCTTTTGATGTGCAGTAGTCATCTTCAACAATATACATTCTAAACTGTCCACTTACTAAAATGCTGTGAAAAGGAAATAGTTATTTCTGTAAACACCCTTTCTTACCCATCTTGTTCTTTGTTTTGGAATCTCCCGGTCTTATGCTGAGTCATATCCTTGGCTTTGGAGAGTATGAAATGAACCTCACTGAAATTGCATCCTTTTCTCTTCTCTTGAATCCAGAACCAATCATGGCCTTGCTTAGAGATGCAGTAATTATATACAAATCTCTTAGGTTTAGTAGCCATAGTCATGAAGAAACTAGAAGCTACAGACTGAATTTGGAAATAATTGATCTTGGTCATCAAGGCCAATTGAGGAAAGTTTTCAGCTTTTGCTAATCCAAGGAATAAGCCAGGTAATGCAGTGTTCTAATTGTCTCTGTCTTTCCAAGAAGTTTGTACCCTAATTGAGGCCATGGATGATGTTTTATTTATTTTTGCATCTTTGACCATGTCACAACAATACATACTAGGCCAGTGATGGCGAACCTATGACACGCGTGTCACCTCTGAACTCATTTTTTTGGTTGATTTTTCTTTGTTAAATGGCATTTAAATATATAAAATAAATATCAAAAATATAAGTCTTTGTTTTACTATGGTTGCAAATATCAAAAAATTTCTATATGTGACACGGCACCAGAGTTAAGTTAGGGTTTTTCAAAATGCTGACACGCCGAGCTCAAAAGGTTCGCCATCACTGTACTAGGCACTCAATAAACACTTGCCAAATTTAATTCAGAAGTTAGATAAAGATTTTAATTGTGGCTCTACCTCTAAGCCACTTCGAGTTAATTGACCTCTGATTTCCTCATCTCTAAAACAGATCTAATAAGTTTTGCTCTGTCTACTTCCCAGTGTCTTTATAAGAATTTAAAGATAGAATATATATGAAGTACTCTTTAAAAGTCTAGAGAGCTCTGTAAAGGTGAAATTACATAACAATTTTGACTCAGATGCTCTCTACCTTAGAGGAATAATTGGTTCATTCTGAATTGTGGAGAGAGAACTCAGCACAGTGAGCTGGAAGTCAGGAGATCCTTATTCTAGTTCTGATTTTCTTTAAATTCTTTGGCTCTTAGTCTCCTTTGATCTCAAATGAGGAAGCAGAGATCAGATTGGTTCCCAACCTTGGCAACACATTGGAATCACGTGATGCTGAAAAATACTGATGCCTGGAAGCCACTCCCATATATTTAATTTAATTGGTCTGGGGAAAATTCTGGGCCTTGAGATTTTTTAAAATTTCCTGTGTGCAGCCAAGGTTTTGCATTTTTTAAATCAGCAAAACCATGCAGTTAGATAAAATCTTACACAAAAATCCAGGCTACAACATACATACCAGTGGAGCTTCTGCAGTTGCTGTTTTAGGACATTAAGCTCCAACTGCCAATCCCTTTTTCTTGTGTCCCATTTTAGAATTCATGCTTCATGGAGCACTGTTAGAAAACCATTGTAACAGACAATTTTCAAAATCGTTTACAGGTCCAAAACAATGTTAGGACCTTATGCTTTCTCACGAGAGCTATGTTCTGTGTTTTTCTTAACACCAATTTGATCCATTGTCAGACTGATTATTATGGAGGTTTGCTTTCCATTTACTTCCTTCTGATTACCCTAACTCTTTTGCCTCAAGATGATGATGAGTCTAAAATTCTTGCTGCCACCCTCCCCAGAGAGTCTGATCCCATTCATCCAGGGAGGGAGTCAGGTGTCTATGTTTTCCACAAGGACTTTTCATGTCTCTTTGAAACAGTTGGTCTATGGACCACACTTTTGGGAAAGATTGCTCTAAGAGTTTTGGGTCAAAAGTAAATAAGGGATGCTGAAGTGTTGGGACAGATTAATGGATTTCCCCCTGAGCTCAGTGCCTGATCTATCAAAGAGGAGCATCTGGGTATTTAAGACTTTAAATTGTACTCCTTCTTATTTGACCATAGTTCTCAGTTACTGCCCTAAAAACCCACTTCACAACCATCTCTTCATCTGTGGCCAAGTCTATAAAGAGATGATATAGAATAGTAATCAAGAGCAGTCAGGCAAGCAGGGGTTCAAATCTACCACTGTAACTACCACGTTCTGATTGTATGATCCTGAGTAAATCACTTAATCTTAAGCCTCAGGGTATATACTTGTAAAAAAATAAATAAATAAAAATAAAAAAGAAGAAGAGGAGGGGGAGGGGGAGGACCACCCTCTTTCTAGGCCCAGGTGTTAGTGAAAATTACACAAGATTAAATGTGTAAAGCACATAGTACACAGTAAATTTTGATAAATGGTAGATATTATTATGTCAGCAGGACCTGGACGAACTGACAAGGAGTTTTTTATTTTATTCTTAGGTGGTGTTTCCCTGAGATGAGAAACATAAAACTTTATATTTCAGGTAAGTGCTCAGCTTATATCTGCTGAGATATCCGGAGTTCACCAATCAATAATAGTATTTGTTTAGTACTACACTGTCCCATGTTCCACCCACAAAGCCAAGAAATTGACCGAGTGTGCTCTCAGAGCATTCATTAAAGGATTGAATGAAGCTCACCAAGAAACTTTTAACAATTTTGGATCTCTAAGAAATTTCTTAATGCAAAACACAGGCTTGACTTCCCTCTGGATGGGCTTAAGACTATTTGTGTGTGTGTGTGTGTGTGTGTAAAGGTGTGAAGAAAAAATTTATAATGTTGAACTTGAGATTATTATCTAAGTGGTTCTTACCATTGGTGATATTACTTCACATTTGAGAGTAATGTTTGAATGTTCTTTTTAGAGGGAAGTGAGAGGAACATTCTACCTGAAGACTTGAGGCAGACAGGTAAGTGATTTAATTTTCAAGTTGTTTAAAACAGAAAGCTATGATAACAATGGTGGAAATAGGTTTTTAAAAATATTTTTTTATATTTTTAAAAAATATACTTTTATTAATTTAAGAGAGGAAGGGAGAGGGAGAGAGAGATAGAAACCTCAATGATGAGGGAGAATAATTGATCAGCTGCCTCCTGCACACCCCCTAGTGGGGATGGAGCCCACAGCCCCGGCATGTGCCCTTGACTGGAATTGAACCCAGGACCCTTCAGTCCGCTCTATCCACTGAACCAAATCAGCTAAGGCTCAATTCTTTTGGATATGTACCCACAAAAGGAATTGCTTGATTATATGGTAATTCTATTTTTAATTTTTAGAGGAACCACCATACTGTCTTCCGTAACAGCGGTACCATTTTACATTTTCACCAACAATGCTTAGATGCTTAATATATATTTACAGAGTGAGTGGTGAAAATTTTTGATGTTGAAAATATGTCCATTCTCCAAATTAATCTACAATTTGAAGGACTTCAATCTAAAAGTCGCACAGGAATTTTTATGACATGACAAATTGATTTCAGTATTCTTTAGGAGAAAATGTAAGGATAGCATAAAATTTTTAAAGAAGGACAAGGAGATTTTTCCTACTAGATATCAAAACATAACCATGAACAATGATTACCTCTGGAGACAGAAGTGGGAAAAAGGGATGTGGTGAATATTGTGAAAAGAATCCCTAACTTAAAACAAAATTCAAGTTGTGGCACATTCTATAAAACAACTGTCCAGTAACCTTCAAAAGTATTAAGATAACAAAAAAAAAAAAAAAGGAAGGAATGAGGAACAGTCTCATGTTGGAGGAAATATACAACTAAATACAATGTGGGATCCTGTAATTTTTAAAAAGTACATTAGTGGAAAGAATTGGTTAAAAAATAAATAGTTTATGCACTTCAGTTAATGGTATTATGCCAAGGTTAACTTCTTAGTCTGTTAATGGTTCTATGGTTCTATAAGATGTTAACATAAGAGTAAGATGGGTGAAAGGTATATGGAAATTCTCTATGCTATTTTTGGAAATCTTCTGAAAATTAAAAATTATCTCAAAATAAAACATTTTTTAAAATGTAGTGACCCAAATTGTACCGACTCTTTCAATAAGGGTATTTTAAAAATTACTTTTCCGAGTAATACAGGAGAGTATTTCCTATACAGTTGATATAGTCTCTTTAATTTTTAGGTCTTTTGTTATATATTGAATAGATACAAAGTTTATAACATGTGTAAATTGTAAAGGGCAACAATAAGATGAGCACAAGTGTGGCTGGAAGCTCTCAGCATGCTTTTCTCAATCCCTTCCCTCCTCCCTCTCCCTGACTTCTATTCTGAATTCTATATTTTTCATTCTCTTGCTTCTTACAGGCTTACTATGAAAATATGTATCCCTAATGATATAGTTTTGCATGATCCTTATGAAAATGGATTAGTACTGTACATCTTTTTTTTCAGTTTGTTTTTTCATAAATATTATATTCCTGAGATTTAACAGCGTTAATGTGTATAACTCTAGTTCACTCATCTTCACTATTACATAGCTTTCATTGTATGAACATACCACAAGTTATTTTTCTATTCACCATTAATAGCTATTTGGTTGGTTTCAAGTTTTGCTGTTATGATCAGTGCTACTGCACAACATCCTTGTATATGCCATTTTATGAGAGTTTCCCTAGAGCAGTGGTCGGCAAACTCATTAGTCAACAGAGTCAAATATCAACAGTACAACGATTGAAATTTCTTTTGAGAGCCAAAGTTTTTAAACTTAAACTATATAGGTAGGTACATTGTTATTAACTTAATTAGGGTACTCCTAAG